ACTAGTATCACACCAGTAAAGTCAAGAGAGCTTTGCTGAAGACTTGGCCTTAAAAGTGTAAGGTTCTGATCAATCCCTGGAAGGACTCTCATTGACTTCAATGGGCATTGGCTTGGGCCCAAATATTTTAGGAGTGTAAATGAACTGAAAGATTTTTAGCCCCTGTATCAATTGATCTTTACACTTTCAAAATGGGAGCCATCACGTTGCTGGCATTTATTTATTTATGTGGATTTATACCTCCAGTCTATGTAACTGACACCTTATTACTGCCACCTTTCTCTTGCTTGTTGTATCTTGGCTTAAATTCGATTGTCAGAGTTTTGGGTCAGGACTGTGACTTCCTCTGCAGTTGTTCAGCACCCAGTGCAATTGGGGACTGTGTGCACTTCTGTAATTAATAAATAATAATTGTCAACAGTAATAATTATAGTTATTAATTGTTATTATTAAGTTCCAACAGGTATTGACCATTATTCATGGCTTGGATCCATACAATCACGTCATCACCAGTAAATCTGTCATGTCTGAATTGCACAATTTGATATAACATAAAACGAACTCCTCAGATTTATCTGGTATGTTTCAGTTTAAAACTTCCTCTTTGGTGTCATGTTTCTCTGGTGCCCTCTACTGAGTCTATTACATCAGTGCAATCTTTTGCATTATGTTTTGGTTCCACTCTGCATTTCACCAAGGAAGCTATGAACCTTGGTTACGGCCAAAGTGCACAGAACACAAGTCAGGAAGATTGCTGTAAAGATGGCTTGTAACTCACCCTTGCAGTCCCCAGGGTGGGATTAATGCAGGGGCTTTAGGGGCTGCAGCCCAGGGCCTCGGACTAAGGGGATCCTGCAGGCCCACAGCGGCCCGCTGCTTCTTTTCATCGGGCCCGCGTCAAGTCTCTGCGCCGCTGGCCGGACATTGGTCCCCGAGCCTCCGCATGCCTCCTCCCCGCCGCAGGGCTAGAGCTGTGAGTGCCGGGTTGCCAGCATGCCCCTGTGGCCCCTAGGCGAGGGGTGTTCAGGGAATCTCTGCATGCTACCCCCACCCCCAGCTCCACAGCTCCCATTGGCCAGGAACCACGGCCAATGGGAGCTGTGGGGGCGGGCACGGGCAGCGGGCACCTCAGGGAGCTGGACATGCTGGCTACCTCAGGGAGAAAAGCAGCGCAGAGCCAGGGCAGGCAGCGATCCTGCCTTAGCCCCGCTGCATCGCCAACCAGGAGCTGCCCGAGGTACGCGCCTCCCAGCCATAGCTGCACTCTGCACCCCAGGACCCTTCCCCAGCCCGGAGCCCCCTCCTGCACCCAAACTCCCTCCCAGACCCTACACCCCCACCTGCACCCTAACCCCCTGTCCCAGCCCTGAGCCCCCTCCTGCACCTCCCCCCAGAGCCTGCACCCTGAACCTCCTGCCGCACCCCAACCCCCTGTCCCATCCCTGGCCCCACCCCTCCAGTTGGAGCTGCAGCCCCTCCCACACACCAATCGCCTGCCCCAGCCCTGAGCCCACTCCCGTACTCCAAAGCCCCAGGGGCCCCACAAAAATCTAATAGCCCTGGGCCCACAGGAGAGTTAATCTGGCCCTGGCAGTCCTGTGATCTTAGTGCTTCTCTGTGCAGTGCTGGACCCTCTGAGACATATTAGAGCAGCCTTGCTGGTCGCTCTAATGTACTCTGGGCTGCTGCAACTACAGAGCACCAAAAAACAGCCAAAGGCCACGGTGGCATTAAGTTGGCCACATCCCTTTTCTCTGTCCTCTCTTCCTTTTCTCTTCTATGCTAGGGATGGGAAATGATACAAATCCTATGCTGACTATGTCATTGGCAGATCAATCTGACAATGGGCTAATCCTCCCTAGCCAGTTAAACCATCATTTTGGCCAGATTATGCCAGTGGTGTGGTGCAAAGAAACTGCACCGGGCTGAAAATTCTGGCCCTAGATGTAGCATATTCAGACTTCAAAGGTAGAGGCAAAAGTTTTGTAATTAGTACAAATACATTTTAAACTGAGGCAACAGGAGGTTAAGTGATTTGTCTAATGTTACATAGGAAGCTTGTACCAGGACTGAGAACAGAACTCTGATCTTACGCCCAGGCCCAATGTCATGCAGGTACTTGGTAGCAGAGAGGAGAACAGAATTCTGATCTCTCAATCCTTGGGCCCAGAAAGTTTGTATTAGGGCTGGGAAGAGAACCCTGCTCTGCCACGGGGTGCACCACTCACCGCTTGTGTGGCACCTCCTCTTGGTCATTCTGGGGATTGCATGCCATCACACCGTCTCTGCAGCTCCTCTCTCATCCCAGGAATTGCAACGTCCTCTTCGTGGCTCAGCCCTCCGGCTAGGTCACTCAGCATTTCTCCCCTTTCGGGGTACAGTCCTTCAAATCCTCTCTCACTCCCACAATGACTCAGGCAGTCTCCCCGTTCATTGCTCTGCCAGTGCTACTTCCCCAGTGGCAGGTAGGGGAACCCGGGCCCGTCTACTATCCTGGGATTCCTGTCCAGGGACCTTCAACCCAGCAGTTTGGGGCTTTCCTCTCCCAGCCCTCACTGCTCCTTCCCTGGACTGCTTCCTAGAACTCCTGATTCCCCTCCTTCCCCTGGGTGTACCAGGTCCACACCCTCTTCCCAGGGAGTGACTGCCCTTTCCCAACAGCAACCCTTGTCTGTTTGCAACTTCCTGGCTTTATAGGCCCCGTCTATTCCTGCACAGCTGAACCTACCCTGCTCCCTGGCTCCCCCTCCAGGTGCAGCCTGTGGAGTTAATAGGGCTACCTGGCCACCTTAGCCCCTTCCAGTCCTGTGTGGGGTGAACACCACATCACATCACATGCTTTCGTTCCTATGTTACCACTGATATAGGGTCAGAGAGAAAACATTTTGCAGAACCGTAGCTATTAATGTTTAAATATTCAAATATTTGTGTTTTTCCTCCAAGTATAACCTGAAATGAAAATTTTCTGATATTCAATTTTTTAAAACTACAATAATCTAATGATCTGATAAATATGTTAATAAATGTTTATAACCTTAGCTCTTAAGTCCATTTTTTTTTGTCCCTCAGACTATCTCATGACAAAGCTGACTGAGGCCAGAGTAGGAGGTGTGAAATTTAAATTCTTCTCTGTAGAGGATCTTGAACAGCAGATGATTTTGTCTTACTTGGTGAGACTACTGACCAACAGCAGCGAATGCTGGAAGAGCATTGAAAAATGGTAGACTATATACGACTTCAGATCAATGCTAATGAAGTCAAAGCGCCGCATGGCTCCTACAAAAGGGAATGAATGACCTGATGATGCTGCATGTAGATGACAATGACACTGAATGGGTGAGTAGTTCTATCTATCTGGGTGGTTGATTGACAGCAGGATGTTCTATAGCTGAAGAAGTTGCACGTCAGATGAGTCTTGCAAAAATGGCATTTCAGCTTCTTCAATAGCCCTTGTTTGGGTGGCATGATGTCCGTGTGATAACTATGATGAGAGTGTTCAATGCAGTAGCAATTACAGCTCTGTTAAACAGAGCAGAAATATGGCTGTTAAAAACAGCTGAGGAAGGGAAACTAAACAGTTTTCAGTGTCAAAAGTTATGGCTTATTCTTAACATCTGTTACAAATAAGGAAATATTTAGATCGGGGTTCTCAAATTTCATTGCACCGCGACCCCCTTCTGACAACAAAAATTACTATACGACCCCAGGACAGGGGAACAAAGCCTGAGCCCGCCCAGGCGGAGGAGCCAAATCCAAAGCTCAAGGTTTTCAGCCCCAGGTGGGGCGGTGGGGGGCGCTGTAACCTGAGCCGCACCATCCAGGGCTGACGCCCTCAGGCTTCGGCCCCGGTTAGTGGGGCTCAGGCTTTGGCCCCAGGCAGTGGAGTTCAGGCTTCAGCCCCAGACCCCAGAAAGTCTAACACCAGCCCTGGTGACCCATAGTTTGAGAACCACTAACAGGTGATCTCGGCAAGTTGCAGTTGTACACTAGTTGAGACCAGGATGACTGCAATGGCGGTGTCATGTCCAACATACACAAGAAGGGTATTGCTTTACAGAAGGTTTATAGAGCTGAGTTAGAAGGAAGAAGAGCATGAGTCTGACCGTGAGGTTGGAAGATGAAATTTTCTGTGATTTAAGAAGCCTAAATCCTCCCATACTGACTCTTGTGAGAGAAAGAAGACTTGCAAGGGACTGTTCAAGATGGAAGTCCATTCGATACACCACTATGGTTACATCATAGCCATGTGAATCTGTTCCTGATGCTGCTTGTTTAAGCTCAGTGTCAACGTGGTTTTCCTACAGGCACAAGAGGTCAGATCAGGGGTGGACAAACTTTTTGGCTTGAGGGCCACATCGGGGAATAGAAATTGTATGGCGGGCCATGAATGCTCACCACAAATTTGGGGTTGGGGTGCGGGAGGGGGTGAGGGCTCTGGTTGGGGGTGTGGGCTTTGGGATGGGGCTGGGGATGAGGAGTTTTGGGTGTAGGAAGGTGCTCTGGGCTGGGACCGAGGGGTTCGGAGTGGGATCAGGGCTGGGGCAGGGGTGCAGGTTCCGGCTGGAGGTGCGGGTACATAATGCTTGCTAATACGCCTTTCTCCCATATCTACAGCATTAATGATCTCCGAATTTCTCTCAAAACTTCAACAAAAGAAAATTTATCTCTATTCTTCTCTCAGCTTAATACAATCCCATTAAATGAAACTGACAGAAGGAAGCTGAATTCTTTTTATTTATATTCATGACAGAAAGATAGCAAATAGAAGATGTCAACCTGGAAAAGTTCATGCATCAATGTTTGCACTACAGTACAGTCAGAGCAGTTATTTGTTTAATGCTGTGTATATACAGGAAGCCATGTTAAAATTAACAACAGCGTAGTATATGGTGATTTTATCTTCAGAGATGAAACATAGCTGTGAATATACCACGTGTGATAAGCCTATTGCTTCTCTTGTTACTTCTGGCTTTGGTGTTGCAACATTTTTATACCAGCATTTAGAATATCCTCAACTGAGAGGTGTGGGTTTCATTTGTCTTAGAGTGATGAGATTTGGGTTTACAAAAGGAAGAAGCTTCTTGAAATTCCTTGGCCACAAAATAGTAGCAAATGGCATCCATGCAGCAGTTAGAATTTGCTATACATGCAGTCATATTAATAAAGGTTCTAATTTTCTGGATTGCAAGGCAGTTAACTCCATTTTTTTCCATCACAAACCTAGCAAGCATCCCAATTTGGACAGGTGAAAAGCATAGTATAAATACAATCATATTTGCAGAAACAATATAGATAGCTTTCTCTATTAGCTTATTTTCGTGTGGATTTGTGATCATCCTTTTTTTAAGACTCCTGATGATGTGCATGGAACAAAAGCTCAGTATTATTAGTGGAATTAAAAAAACGAAGATCAAGAAAAATGGAACACTGGTTGATGGTTTTGTGGAAACCTTTTGAAAGCACAAAGTTTCCTCTCTCCTTTGTTTTATGTTCAGACCAGTTATCGTTGATACCCAAAGAAGCCCACAGATAAGGGCTGCCTTCCATGGTGACCTTAAACTCTTTGCCTTCAGAGGATACTTTATGGCAATATATCGATCGACTGAGATGACGGTGATAATGTAGATGCTCATGGACATATTTATTAAATATATAGACTGTATAGTTAAGCACAGCGTGTCACGATGCCAGTCGTTCCATAAGAAATAAACTTTGAAAGGCAAGCTGCAGACTACAGAACAGTCTGCAATGACCAAGTTGATCATGTACACCCTGGTTTCTGTCCATTTTTTCAGTTTGCAGCAGAACACCCACAAGGCAAGGACATTAAATGCGGCTCCAAAAGGGAAAATTGTGGCATAAATAATGACTTGAATGAGTCGAACATTGTAACTCAGACTGTTGTTGCAGATTGTTGAGTTTGTCATTACGATGCACCTCTGCTACAGAATGAGGTTTCAAAGACCTGAAATATAACAACACATGATTCTTTTCATTAAAAACAAAAGCTCATCTCCTATTTGACCCACTGCACCCCCTCTGCCAACTAGCCTGATAAACATTCCCTACAAGTTTTCCCCTCCCAATAAGGCAGCAATGGCCTCCCTCCATTTCCCTGGTCCCTCAACAGACCCATGACTCTGAATCAGAGTGCATAAAAATCAATGATTAAAAAAGTTGGATTATTTTTAAAAATATTTTAAAGTTTAAATAGTATGTTTTCTTTTTTAAAATAAACCTATTTAAAATTAAATGTAAAATTATGGGAATTTATGCTAAGGCCTACATTTAGTATAATATTATACTATACTATAGTAAATTTAAATTAGTATATTTTTATATTTTAAATTTAGTATAATTTTATACTATACTATAGTAAATTTAAATTAAATTAAAAAATGATTCAAGTAGCACATGTTTGCTGCTGAAGTTTTAAAGAAAATGAAAGCATGAATTGGTGGATTAAGCCCCTGGACCAGAGTATGCTGAAATGCTAAATCAGCTTTTGACAGTAATAGCCTCTTCTGCAGGTGCTGAGAGAATAATTTTCTTCATTTTAGTTTATTCAACTAGTTCAGTTCATTGCCTAGTTCATTCGAAGTTGAGAAAGTGATTGGGAGTTGAAAAAAGCAGGAAAGCTTGTTTTCCTCCTCTAATCTATGAATAAAAATGAGGCATGAGAGGATGAGATCTACTAATTTTGAAACCTTGAAGGATGTGGTGACCAGAAGCAATCCATTCAAAATTCACTGACTGCAGATAATTCTTCCTTTGTTTAATAAATCAGTGAGTTTTAAATGCAAAACATGTTTGGGCAAACATTTTTTTTCTTATATCTCCAGCACACTTAAGGTAGTTTTATGTAACTAGTAAAAACAAATTTTAAAATGCTGTTTTTGTTCAATTTTAATTGATTTGCAATTTGCTCCCAAATGTAGCTTGACACAAATCACAAATAAAAAGTTGATCATCTAGTCAATAAGAAATGAATCATTCACCATTTTAAAACATAAAAAATGTAATAATAAAACTCAGAATTATGTTGAACTATATCATTGCTTAAATAAATGTGTATAAATATAGTGTTTTCGCCTGTTTAGCAAAACAAAGTACCAAATTATATTAACAATGAGAATCAAGCTTTCTTTAGGAGAGTAATTAAGAACAAATGCAAAACAAGATTAAAAATTGATTATTTAAATCAAGGTTTTCTGTTTGCTGACTTAAATCATGTTTAAAATCAGTGAGCTAAATCACTGATTTTAATCAAGCCATCCTGCTCCTAATACCTTGGATACTGGCAGAACTCTGTTCTGAATTTTGCATATGGTCCCACTCTTTCATTGAAATTTTGCTTTTGTGCTTTTCTGGAGGAGGTCCCCTAATGCTTACCTTATCATGCAAAGCAAGTGTTTTTAGAGCTATTTGTCTGATAACATCATGATGTTTACTATAGATCTGCAGTCACATAATGCTGTAGAACCTCACTGATTTGCATTAAATAATACTAGACCCATTGCAAATTAACAAGTAATGAATGTTGAGGGGAGGAAGTCAGTACATGTGACATGATTCCCCCTAATTCCACAAATAGTGACTTTACTCTTGAAGCAGAGCATCTGAGGTCGTGTGTGTCGTCCCCCCCCGCTGGAGTCATTGCAAAGAAGAGGAAGGCAGTGAGGGTTGTTTACACTGCAAAGAAAAACACACTGTGCAAAGTTCTAGCACCTGGGCTCCAGCCTGAGCCTGGAAGTCTACATAGCACTGAAACAGCCCCACGGTCCAAGCCCTGTGAGCCCGAGTTGGCTGGCAGGGGCAGCTGCAGATTTTTCTTTGCTGTGTAGACATACTCTGAGTGGCTTCAGAATAGGCCATTTAGTGCAAACATGACAGGCCTTAACCCTGCTAATTTCCTCTTTAACAAGTGGTTATTAGTGAAGCCAACACTTTCTGTGGGTCTCTGGGGCTGGGCTAAATGCTGATGGTCTGGAGGAGTCTAATAGGCATAACTGCTATGCTGATGTTGGAGAGTAAGATGTCCAAGAGAAGGCAGATTTATCTGTACTAGATGCTACCACCACCACCCTCCTGGGTGGTAGCTTGCCCCAGAGACTGGCTAGGGCAACGGGCAATGCCGAGTAGCCCAGACATGAACAGTTGGAAGTGGGACAGCAGCTGTCAGATATTTTTGAGTAGGACCAGGCCATGTCCTAGGGGACAGCAGTTTCCCATTGCTCTGGGGTTACTCCCGTTCTGTATACTGGGCACTGGAAACCTGCAAGTGGGCCTGGTGTGACTGGGAACTCTGGCTGCTTAGAGAGGGACACAGCTCCATCCCTCCACCATTGCCCCAGAGACCAATGTCCTGCAGCTGGTGAGGCAGATGGTCAGGGTGGAACACCTATTGTCCTCCTACAACCCCTAGGGATGCAGCAGGCTCCAAAGAAAGGAGCCTGTCAAAGAGGCACAATAGGGCCCTTGCCCATAACTAGGGCTTCTAGGTGCTTTGATAAATAGGCTGTGACTTTAAGTGGAATTTGGACCAGCTGGAGAAAGGGAAGTGTGTTTGAGGCAGAAGGGATAATAGTTATTACCACACAGAAGACAGCCTGTTTCTCATCAGAGTATTCAGGGCTTTACTGATTTTCATGACACCATGATGACAAGGGGACTAAAATAAACATGCCACCGCAGGGTTAACATAGCCAAACTGCACATAAAACCAGCCTCACTACATGTAGATGCTATGCTAGCTGAAAATTTCTCTGCTGTGGGGCAGCACAAGAGGGCTGGAATGGGGGTCAGGGATTTGGCTGTGAAGGTGGATGTGACGGACGGAGAGAGCAAACCTGCCACAGAGTGAGTGTGAGGGGATCTATGAGGAGAAGAGCCAGGGAGGGGAAAGGGAGCAGACAGTGGCAAGTGGGAGGGGAGAGAAGAAAGAAAAAGAAGACAAAAGCATAGAAAATATGATTGAGAAATGGGCACCAATTTTTCACCTTCTGGTGGCCACCTCCTCTTCCATGGAACCCAATACCTTCTGTTCATACCTCCCTGACCTCCACTAATAAGAGCCCTGACCCACGAGACAAACTTTCTGTTTTTCACACCTGGTCACCCTGTAAATAAACACATTTCATTTGACCGTCTCAAATGACCATCACCATTTCAAGAGCTGCTTGAGTTTGAGTTGCTGCAAAAGTTTGATCATTTGAGATGGTCTTTATATTTCACCCAGGGTTTGGAGTATGATTTGTCAAAAGAGAAATCCTGGTCAAAGCAGGAGACAATCTTATACCTGACTAAAGCTCAGGGAGGTTAGACACTATATACCAGGTTCAGCTGGGAGCAGTTTATGGAGCATTTACAGACTGACCATGAGTGCATAAATGTAAAAGGCACAGGAATTTGACAATCTAAGTGACAGCACAGCAGGTTTGAGTGATGTTCAAAGAGCTATGCTGCACACTTTTGACAAAATTATTATTCATAGCCCCAAATCCTCTCTCTTCCAGATGAAGTTATTTTCAGAATAAAATAGCAATTTGACCTGAAACAAGCTGGTTTAACACTGGCAGAATTATAGTTGAGTGAATCATTCTTAATGAATAATTTCATCAACAAATGTCACTTCCTAATTTTGTTCATAAAATGTCCACCAGCAGCCTGATGTGTTCTCCAGCTGTATTCATTATTCAATATTATCTGACACATGATTCATTAATTCTTTTTACTCTCTTGGTTGCTATTAAAAAAATGAAATTCCAAATTTGAAGTATGTTGCAGTGCTGTGATTGGTAACATACTATTGCTTTGCGTAAGTATAAATCTTGCAGTCAGGTTATGGTCTGCATGTTCAGAAAGTCAATGTAAAATTTATACTTCATGAATATTTCCGTGTTTTACTTTCTGCTAGTAAAACTGGATTGCTGGAATAGTCCAGGTAAGCAAACATAAAAGGGGAGCAAACATGGCTGAAGCCTATTCAACTAAAAATGCTATTGAGAGAAACCTGGTGGAAAATGGTTTTCCTTTGAGATTTTGAATTTTTTTTTACCATTTTGTTTCGATTTTGACCTTTTAAAAATTGTTTAACCTTTTTTCTTATGTATAAATTAACTAAAATTTTGAAATGTAAAGTAATGTGAAATAAACAAAATGAAATTTTCCATTTCAAAACACATTTTGTCAGAAAATCCCCAACCAGCTGTACTATTGAATACTGACAGTAAATTGTGTGTGATATTCTCCCAGTCATCACATCTGGAAGACACTTGAGACTAAAAGCACATAGAATAGAATTACAGGAAGAAACAAAGTACATTAAGTCAAAACTCCCAAGATGTCCGACTAGTGTAATATAATTCAAAGAGTTAGTTGATTGCTGTCTATTAATTACACTGATTACACAAACCTCTCAAAAACAAGTTGTACCTACTCTCCTTTACATTAATGTCAGGAATTAATGAGAAGCAAGGAAATAAACTGCAGTACAAAAATGCAATCTCTGGTGAAAACGAAGTAAAAATAATCACGAAAGAATGAAAGTTACCTGTTGGCTTAACTTCCACAAAACAATTATCAATTCACTCCACAATAAAAGCTTCAACACAACAATTAATAGACTCAGACTTTGTTCCAGCTGACATCACCTGGTATTCAGAGCACCGAAAAAGATCTCTTAGTTGCTCAATGGCTCTGTCCTCTCTGGAGTGAGAGAGTCCCACTGCTTGCTCAGTATTTGCCTCTTCCTCAAGAATGTCACCTCTGTATTTGAATCTTCCTGTTCATCTTTGTAGAGGGGCCCCTGCTGATGGCATAGCAGTAATTCCTCTTATGATTCAACTTGACTCATTGGACAAGGAAGCAGTGGATGGATGGAGTTTTCAAAAGTACCTCAGTGACTTAGAAAAGCTTTTTAGAAAAAGAGTCCAATCACTATGGTTTAAAACAATATGGGAAGTTGTGGATAGAGAAGAATTAACATATTTACACATTTTGGAACATATGAGAAATAATAGACAGAAAAATAGACAGA